CCTCAGCACTGACCCTCCGACAGCGCGGCGCTCCCTCAGCACTGACCTTCCGACAGCGCGGCGCTCCCTCAGCGCTGACCCTCCAACAGTGCCCACTCCCTCAGCGCTGACCCTCCGACAGTGCAGTGCTCCCTCAGCACTGACCCTGCCTCTGACAGTAGAGCACTCCCTCTGAGGTACAAATCCCACATTTGATTCCAATATGGATTTTCTTCCAAAATATGTGCCTCCTTGTACGTAAGTGAGGGAGCAAAGTGCATAGAATGAGCACTGGACAAAGGTTGTAGAAACATTGAAAACAGGAGCAGGAGTAGGCCATTCAGCCCTTTGAGCCTGCTATTCCATACATTCTGATCATGGCTGATCATCCAATTCAATAGCATGGTTCTGCCTCTCCCCCATATCCTTTAACCCCTTTAGCCCTATGAGCTACATTCAACTCCTTGAAATCACACAATATTTTGGCCTTTACTGCTTTCTGTGAAAGTGAATTCTACAGGGTCACCACTCTCAGGGTGAAGAAATTCCTCCTCATCTCAGCCCTATATGGTTTACCCCAAATTCTCAGACTGTGGCCCCTGCACTGGAATTCTCTCGCTATGAACATGAACACCAACACACCACTTGCCTTCTTCACCGCCTGCTGTATCTTCAGCGACTGGTGCACGAGGACACCCAGCTCTCATTGCACACTCCCCTCTCTCAATTTACAGCCATTCAGATAATAATCCACCTTCCTTTTTGCACACCAAAAGTGGATAACCTCACATTTACCCACAGTTTGCTTCATCTGCCATGCACTGGCCACTCACTCTGCCTGTCCAAATCACACTGTAACATCTCTGCATCCCCCTCACAGCTCACCCTCCCACACAGCTTTGTGTCATCTGCAAATTTGGACAGATTACTTTTAGTTCCCTCATCTAATCATTAATATATATTGAGAATAGCTGGAGTCCAAGCACTGATCCCTGTAGTATCCCACTAGTCACTGCCTGCCACTTGGTAAAACACCCGTTTATTCCTGCTCTTTGTTTCCTGTCTGCCAACCAGTTCTCTTTCCATCTCAGTACTCTACTCCCAATCCCAAGTGCTTTAATTTGACACATTAATCTCTTATGTGGGACATTGCTGAAAGCCTTCTGAAAGGCCAAATAAACCACATCCACTGGCTCCACCTCATCAACTCTGAGTTATATCTTCAAAGAATTACAGTAGATTTGAAAAGCACGATTACCCTTTCATAGATCCATGCTGACTCTGTCCAATCCTGCCACTGTTTAGAGTCATAGAGACGTACACCACAGAAACAGACCCTTCGGTCCAACTCGTCCATGCCGACAAGATATCCCAAATAAGTCTATCCAATTTGCCAGCATTAGGCCCATATCCCTCTTAAACCCTTCCTAATCATTTATCCATCTAGATGCCTGTGTTAAATGTTGTAATTGTACCAGCCTCCACCACTTCTTCTGGCAGCTCATTCCATATACGCACCACCCTCTGCATGAAAAGATTACCCCTTAGGTCCCTTTTATATCTTACCCTTCTGGTTTTGGCCTCCTCCACCGCACGGAAAGGACCTTGGATATTCACTCTATCCATGCCCCTCATGATTTTATAAAACTCTATAAGGTCACCCCTCAGCCTCCGACACTCCAGGGAAAATTGTCCCAGTCTATTCAGCCTCTCCCTATAGCTGAAACCCTCCAACCCTGGCGACATCCTGGTAAATCTTTTCTGAACCTTTTCAAGATTTACTGCAGCAAGGAGACCAGAATTGCATGCAGTATTCCAATAGTGGCCTAACTAATATCCTGCACAGCTGCAACATGACCTCCCAACTCCAATACTCGATGCACTAACTTATAAAGGCACACGTACCAAATGCCTTCTTCACTATCCCATCGACCTGTGATTCCACTTTCAGGGAACTATGAACCTGCACTCCAAGGTCTCTTTGTTCAGCAACACTCTCCAGGACCTTACCATTAAGTGTATAAGCTCTGCCGTGATTTGCCTTTCCAAAATGCAGCACCTCACATTTATCTAAATTAAACTCCATCTGCCACTCCTCGTCCCATTGGATCAAGATCCCATTGTACTCTGAAGTAACGTTCTTCGCTCTCCACTACACCTCCAATTTTGGTGTCATCTGTAAACTTACTAACCATACCTCCTATGTTCACATTCAAATCATTTACATGAATGATGAAAAGCAGTGGACCCAGCACTGATCCTTGTGGCACACCACTGGTCACAGGCCTCCAGTCTGAAAAGCAAACCTCCACCACCCCCTGTCTTCTACCTCTGAGCCAGTTCTGTATCCAAATGGCTAGTTCTCCCCATGTTCCATGTAATCTAATCTTGCTAACAGGTCTACCATGAGGAACCTTGTTGAAGTCCATATAGATCACATCCACTGCTCTACCCTCATCAATCCACTTTGTTACTTCTTCAAAAAGCTCAAATTAGTTAGTGAGACACAATTTCCCAAGCACAAAGCCATGTTGACTATCCATAATCAGTCCTTGCCTTTCCAAATATATGTAAATCCTGCTCCCCAGGATTCCCTCCAACAATGTGCATTTTCTCCACTACCGACATTAGGCTGACTAGTTTATAATTCCCAGTTTTCTCTCTGCCTCCCTTTTTGAATAGTGGGGTTACATGAGCTACCCTCCAATCTGTAGGAACTTTCTAGAGTCTAAAGAATCGTGGAAGATGACCACCAATGCACCCAGTATTTCTACAGCCACTTCCTTAAGTACTCTGGGATGTAGATGACCAGGCCCTGGAGATTAATTGGTCTTCAATCCCATTAATTTCCCCAACATTTCCCTTCTAATTCTGATTTCCTTAAGTTCCTCCATCTCACTAAACTCTGTGTTCCCCGACATTTCTAGTATGTTATTTGTGTCCTCCTTTGTGAACACAGAACCAAAGTGTGTGGTTCTAAAGATGCAGTTATGCAAAACCCTGGATGGAACCTCAGTAGGAGTACTGTGAGCAGATCTGGCCAGCAGACCTTAGGAATGATACACTGGCCTCAGAGGGAGTACAACATAGGTTTGTAAGAATGGACTTCAGGGGTTATGTTATGAGGAAAGATTATACAAATTAGGCTTGTTTTCACTAGAATTGTAGAAGGTTAAGGGTCATCTGATCAAAGTCTTCAAGATATTCTGGTTGGATCGAAGGGTCTGTTTCTGTTCTGTGTGACTATGACTCTATATTAACAGGAAAAGACAGGGTAGATAAACTATTTCCACTGGTTGGGGATTCTGGATCATAGTCTAAGAATAAGGGCCAGACCATTCATGAGAGATATTAGGAGGCATTTCCACACACAAATGTTGCTGGATGTTTGGAACTCTCTTCCACAAACGACAGTAGATGCTGTATCAGTTGTTAATTTTAAATCTGAGAGAGATAAAACTTTGTTGAGAAAAGGTGTTAAGGGATATGTGCCAAAGGCAGATATATGGAGTTAGGCCACAGATCAGTCATGACCTCACTGAAAGGTGGAACAGACTCGAGGGCTGAGTGATCAACTGCTGGTTCCTATGTATTTAATTGGTCACAGCTATTCCTTTATTCCCCATTATAAACTCCCCTGCTTCCTACAGTAAGGGATCTACATTTATGTTCATTAATCTTCACATGCCTACACTTTTACACTCAGTTTGTATGTCCCCTACACACTTACTCACACACTCTATTTTCCTTTTCTTAAGAAATCCTTTTGTCCTCTTTTACTGAATTCTCAACTGCTCCTACTCCTCAGGTCTGTTGTTTTTTTCTGGTCAATTTGTATACCTCTTCTCTGGATCTAACACTATCCCGACTTTCCATTATAAGCCACAGTTTGGCCACCGTTGCTGTTTTACTTTTGCACCAAACAGTTCTGAGGAAGGGTCACTGGACCCGATACGTTAACTCCGACTTTTTCTTCACAGATGCTGCCAGACCTGCTGAGCTTTTCCAGCAACTTCTGTTTTTGTTCGTGATTTACAGTATCTGCAGTTTTTTCGGTTTTTAATGAAGAATTCTTACAGGTTACCCATGCGCTCTCTGAATGTTCTCCATTGCCTTTTCATTATCATCCCTTCAAGTAACATTCCTCAATCTATCATAGCCAACTCGTGTCCCACACCACCATAGTTTCTTCTCTTTATATTCAGGACCCTGGTCTCAGAATGAACCACATCACTCTCCGTATTGATAAGAATTCTATTATATTCTGGTCACTCTTCCCCAAGGGACCTCGCAATTAGATTGCCAGTTACTCCTTTCTCATTACACAATGGTCTGGTCTCCAGTCAGTTCCTCAATGCACTGGGGCCAATTAGTTCAGTTGAATGGACAGCAGGTTTATGATGCAGTGTGATGCCAAAAGTGTAGGTTCAGTTCCTGCACTGGCTGAGGTTACCATGAAGGACTCGCCTTCTCAACCTCTCCCCGTGCCTGAGACACAGTGACCCTCA